GCCAGCCTTCTGGTTAGCAAATACTTGAGGCACTACACCACCAGAGCTCCTGTCTTGAATTAGGCGCAAAAAGATCTCGGCTTTAGTAGGCTTCTGACTCCTAGGGGCACGGGGGCGTCCTCTGCGCCTTCCCGCTGGGCATCTCAGCAGGACTCTGCCGGTGCCGGCTTCTCCCGGGCGCTCTCACTGACCCCTCCACTCCCCACCCGAGTCTTTGACTCGCTCCCGGGGGGCTGCTTTGATTTTCTTTTGCTAAGGAAGGTTGGGCAATCCTACTTCCGTAGTGATACTGCCTCGGAAACCGCATATAACAAAAACAACAAGAGAGAGGCTAGGAGCTCCAGCAGTGTATGACTGCTAACCAGAAGGCTGGGGGTTCAAACCCACCAGCCACTCCTCCGAAGGAAGGTCGGGCAATCTACTTCCACAGTGATACCGCCTCGGAAACCCAAGGAGGGGCCCCTCTGAGTCGGATCCAACTCCAGGGCAGTGAGTTTGGTTTTTGGTTTTAGAGAGAGCTAGGCGTTTCGTTGTCCGGGGACAACGAGTCCTAAGTCCCTTCGGAAGAAGGGAAGTTCCTGGGGGCTGGCATAGAGAATTTTCTCATCAATGAGAGGGCTCAGGAGGTATTTCTCTGCTCCTGCCGACAAGCTGCACCCGCTTGGGCTTTGGGCTCTGGCAAATCTGGGTTCGAGCCCCAGGTCCCTCAATTACCAGTGAAGGACCCTGAGAAAATTATTCAACCTCTCTGTCTCTGTGCCTCTGGTGGCGCAGTGCCTAAGACACTTGACTGCTAACCAGAAGGCTGGTGGTTCAAACCCACCAGCCACTCCTCAGAAGAAAGATGGGGCAATCTATTTCCGTAGTGATACCACCTCGGAAACCCAAGCAGGGGTCGCTATGAGTCGGATCGACTATGAGTCGGATCGACTTGACGGCAGTGAGTTTGGTTTTTGTTTTTTAAAGTGCAGAAAATACTATCCCCCAGACAGTGGCTGCGAAATTCAAAGAATAGTGTAAAATACTTAATTCGGTCTCCAGGAAACGGCCATCCCTTTACAAAATTGTTGTTGTTGTTAGGTGTTGTGGAGTCGGTTCCGACTCATAGAGACTCCATGTACAACAAAACGGAACACTGATCAGTCCTGAGCCTTCCTCATAATCTTTGCTGTGTTGACTCCACTTACTGGCTACAAATATAGTAAGTTCATAGCCACAAATATTAGGTATTGTTTTTGGTGACTATCGTGTTATTTTCCGGAATCTGCTGCATCGGAGCGTCCCCGACCTGAGTCTTGTTCCAACAACCACTGATCTCTGCTAAGTGCTGCCTTTTAACCCAGGAGCCCTGGTGGTGTAGTGCCTAAGGCATGTGACTGCTAACCAGGAGGCTGGCGGTTCTGGCCTGTGACCAGCCACCTGGACAGGGTAGGAAGGAGTCGCCCTCAGGCAGGGAGGCTGGTGGGGAGGAGATGCTGGGGTTCAGCTGCTCAGGAGATGAAGAGGCGGAGACCTGTCCGGCTGCGGAGGTTTCCAAGACCACCTGCCGCCTCCGCCGCCCTCCCTAAGGCTGCTGTCTGCAAAGTGCAGCGCGCGCAATGACCAGCAGCAGCGCCACCTGTCGGTGCCGATTCCTGGGCTTGCGAGGCCGGGGAAGAGGCGCGGGACTCCTGGGTCCAGCCTTGTGGCGGCGGAGGGCCAGACTGGGGCCTGGAGTGCGGCCTGCACCCGCTCCGGGCCGGCTAGGCAAGCGGTCAGTGGTGAAAGACTGACTCGCCGGCTTCTCGGTCCCAGCGGAGAATTGGGCCTGAGCTTGTGCCTGGCGCAGACGAGAGCGCCAGCTTAGCGTCTGCCTGCCCTGGCGTGGCCTCGGACAGAGCTCTGAGCGCTCCATTCGCGCCTCTGCAAAATAGGATCGTATCGATGCGTCCAATGAGTTAGTCTTT